CCAAGCACCACTTGTGATAATTGTGATAATGCTCAGGTTGGACAGGTTGGGGTAAAGATTTCCAGGGGAATGGTTCTAAGGAAGGTGAAAATGTTGCTGTTACAGTTGGATTCCAAGCATCTTGGTTGTCACACATTGATTAGGTAGAAGACCAGTGCTGAGGCCACATGTCCCAGTTTAGCCTTACCAGTCTTGCAAAAAAATTTGAAAAGCTAAACAAAAATGTAACTTAACTGATTGTGAAGCCTAGTCCAATCTCCCAGAAACCTCTGCAGAATCAAAGCACTCTGCACACAATGCCGTGTCTTTATGTAGGTGGTACATTGAGTTGTATTTATAATGCTTTAATGCCAGTTTCCAAACATAAAGCTTCTACTACAGGCACTTTTTACTCGGACACAACTATCCTGCCAGCTCGCTCTGTTTGGGTATTCTGACAGTGGCCGCTGTCAGAATACAAAAGAAACAGCAGGGATTTCTTGATCAACATTTGTCTGCTCTATTTTTTTTCGTTCGGCTTGTGGGTTGAACAAAAATAGCAGTGAATGGCCAGCTTTCATTTCTCCTGAGGTAGCCCTACAGAGCTTGGGCTGAACCAGAAAAAAAATAGCCAATTTCCCCATCTCCGCTAATCACATGAATGGAGGAATCTCCACCGCGGGATATTCTATTCAGGCAGTTGCGGCACCGTTGGCTGTTCTGCTAAACAGTGACTGTATCTGGTAGGATGCTGTCATTTTCTGGTTGATTTTCCGTGCGGCTCAATCAGTCTTTAAATTGACTATAGTTGAGCCCGGGTGGTGCTTGCAAGGTTCTGGTTCTGATTGCAGCTGAAATTCAAGCCATCTATGGCTAGCTTTACTTTTACAGTACAACTGACCTCCCAGTTTTTGTCTGGGATAGTAGACGAAGGAGCCTCATTAAATAGTTCTCTATAGAGGTCAGTTCATTTGACCTTGCAGTCCTAGAGTGCATTGTTTGTGTAAGGAGGGCTAAGTCAAGGGCAGAAACAAACAGAAGCTGCTGGTCCTCTTGGACTTGAGCATTTTTTGGAAACCAGAGTTCACCGTTTTCCATCTGTTTTAGGCAGAACGGATCAAGTTTATGGGAGGTGCAAAGTTTGACTATAAATGAAATAGTCAACGACCATGGTAGCCAGTCAGACATTGGATTACATTTTGCAAGTCACTGGAGAAATGTTGCAACTGAATGCATTGAGGAAGATGGTCACATTTCTTTGCAGTAATCTATTTTCTTAATGTTACTTCTGGACACCAGTGAGCATGTGGGACAGACTTCCTCTAAAAATATTCCATCACACAGTGAGGGACTCATGACTCAAGTTTACGCTTAATCAAATTGAACAGCAGACTAGACCTAGTTTATTTGCAAATTGTCAAGCGTATAAAAATGTAGTATGCTCTGTTCTACAAATACTAGATGTTGTAAATGGACATTGTGAACTCTGGCAAGCATGTAAAACAATCACTCCACTGAGAATGAATTGGTCATGCTTTTATTTACCCCCTGTCCTATGCAGTTTTTTAAATGATGGATTTGAACATTTTAGGACATTTCCTACCCAGACAGGGAGGATAGCTTTTGTCCAAGGCCATAGGAAGTGTCTTTTGTTATTTGGTATTTCTGTAGCATAAATATATAAAACAAAAAAATGTTTTAAAGGAGAACTATGAGGTGAGTGCTGTTCACTCACCTCATAGTTCTAGCCGACCTGTGACAATGAGACTGTCACAGATCGGCTCAGTAGATCTGGAGGTGAGCGAACACGTACCGGCGTTCGCTCACCTCTCAATCCTGTCCCGGCTCTCTGCCGTGACAGGGGGAGGGGCTGGATTCCCCCCTCCCCAACCCCAGCCGCCAGCGCTGACTGGGGAATCGGACGGGGAGGGGGTGGGTACAGCTGGCTCTGCCTCTAGCTAGGCAGAGCCAGCTGTCACACACGAAGCTGGGCGCATCCAGACATAATTGTCGTGATCTGCTTCAGCTGCGGCGCCTCAGTATACCGCGATGAGTAGCTTGCGGTATACTGTGGCGTCTCAGGGTGACCCAGAGTATACTGAGCTTAGGGTGACGGGAGGACGCTAGTTTGTGTCCTCCCGTTGCCCTAAGGAGAACTATGGGGAAAACCTTAACCCCATAGTTCTCCTTTTAAAGCAAAACACTGTGCGGGCTCAAATAATAGTCTGTCTTCTGCTTCCCCTCCAATCATATGTAGGGTATAATGTTGTGTTTGGGGGGGGACTAATGAAGAGGATTACGTAAGCTAGGGTACTGCATTCTTCCTCCCCTTAGATTCAAGGTTTGAGGACTTCTTGGCAAGCCTTCATAAATCACAAAATCAAAATTTAGCATCAAGCTGCAAAAATGTAGGGCCCAGGAATAATTATTATTATTATACAGGATTTATATAGCGCCAATAGTTTGCACAGCGCTTTACAATATAAGGAAGACATTACAGTCACAATACAATTTAAGACAAGATGGTAAGGAGGGCCCTGCCCGTGAGGGCTTCCAATCTAAAAGATTATATATACAGTTCTCACTTCCTGCTCTCCAATACAGAACAGCTGCCATATATACAGAGTTTGCACAGCGCTTTACAATATAAGGAAGACATTACAGTCACAATACAATTTAAGACAAGATGGTAAGGAGGGCCCTGCCCGTGAGGGCTTCCAATCTAAAAGATTATATATACAGTTCTCACTTCCTGCTCTCCAATACAGAACAGCTGCCATATATACAGTACAACACCTTTAGTAGGGTATATACATGGTATGAATTAATCAGGAACCAGCCAGAATCTGCACAGTGGGTGCTCGCTGTTGGCACCCTTCCCCCCCGGCATCCATCAATCATCTGATCGAAGGAACAGGTTGGAAAATTCTTGGCTGAACGGAGCTAACTAGTTCAGGTATTCTGACGGCGACCGGCAGGGGAATTCGTCCAACGCCCATAGGTGTAGAAGGAGGAATCTGTAATGTTTTCTTTGTTCATCCCGCAGGTTGAACAAAGAAATATATACGGGTATACCTGGTTTTACAGTGACTGGACAAGTCCGTGATCAAACTCCTCCCCTCAGAACTACATTTCAGGTGGGCAACCTGCAGAACATGGGGCTTTGTCTCTTCTGCATTTTGTCATGTAACAGGAATTTGGCACAACACCAAACTGAATGATTCCAAAGCTGGTTGGAATAAAAAAAAAAAAAAAAAAATCATAGTTGCCTATGATTTGTTTTACAGATATACCATGACCTGGATGAATGAGAACCTTCAGAGACAACACTGAACAGAGCAAGCTATGTCCCACTCCCCTGTAATTTACTAGTCTGACAAGTAGTATTAAGCCCCATTCACACTAAGCGACATACTTTTTCAAGCAGATCCGCGCAGCCGGGATAGCGCGACGGTTCAGGGACGTCCAAGCGACCGTAGCACGACCTTCACTGTCGGGCTGCATTAAAAAAAAGAAATTCGCGTGACATCCGCGGGAAAAAGGGTCCTGCAGGCGCGACTTGCGACCTCAACGGGCGACATGGAGCTGTACATTAAGACAGCTCCATTGAAAATCAGTTGGCCGGCGACTTCTCGCGATATCGCACGGCAAAAATGCACGATATCGCGGCGGCAATCTGCTCAGTCTGAATGGGCCTTGGGGCAAGGCTCATGACCTTGACATCCTGATCACCTGGGAACTTGGAGTGGGCCTGGCAACTGTAATGTGGACAGTCCTGTTGTGAAGTTGACCTCAAATGAATGTTTGTGATGTTCTAGGAAAGATCTAGAAAGCTTAGCTGTGCTTGAGCAATACCCTGGAAATGTACCGCATTCACCGGTCAGCTGAGTGTGAGATTGTTTGGGGTCATAGTAGTCTAATAATGAAGGAAAGGAGGTGGAGACAACCCGCTATCTGTGTGACATTTATCCATGTACGCCCATTATTTGTGGGTTAAAGGTTAAAGGGAGAAAAAAAAAACTCTGCATATTGGACTTGTTTTGGCAAGCTGGGGAATATTGTCAGTGACCAAATATTGAGTCATTGTAAGGCCGGACGTAGAAAATAGAACAGATTTCTCTATCGGTGCTTACAAGCGTTCATCAAGGTATCTCCTGCTGTCTTCATCGTATATTGATAGCGGCCGCTGGCTACCGTCAGAATTCCCCAACAGAGACGGCAGCTGATTTTCTGACCGGCTTCTTCAATCAGCTGATCGAGGGGTGCTGTTCAAAAGGGTGCCGACAACAGCACCCACTGTGTGAATTTTATCCGCTTCATCAAATTCACATAGTGTATGGCCAGCTTTAAGCTTTCAATCACTTGGGTTTCTTGATGAAGGGACCACGTGTGGCCCCAATACATTGTTTGCTTTGTGATATTACTATGTTCGAGGGTCAATAAAAACGTGTTTAAAGAAATAGTTTGCCGTGCCGGGACTTATCCTCTGATTGTTGTATGTGCGGCATAATCCGCTTGTCAGCGCGGCACCCACCACAGACG